CATATACCTTCTTTGATAAAAGTCCCACTTTCAAAATTAGGTTGTTTTCTTATTATTGAGATTTGACAGTTCTTTATATATTCTAGATACAAATCCTTTATCAATTTTATGAAAAATTTATTTTTCCTCTCTGGGGCTTGTTGTTTCATTTTCTTAGGTGTCTTTTGAAGAGCAGATGTTTTCAATTTAGATAACATTCAGTTTATCAGTTTATTGTTTTGTAGATCATACTTTTGTGTTCATGCCTAACCCAAGGACAGAAGGCTGTCTCATGCTTTCTTATAGAAGATTTATAGTTTTAGGTTTTATATTTGGGTCTTGAGTCTTCTCTGTGTTAATTTTTATATAAGGTTGAATTAAATTTTTTTTCATATACATATCTAATTGTTTTAGTGTTCTTTGTTGAAATGTGCCTGGTGTCCACTAAGTTGCCTTTACACCTTGGTCAAAATTTGAAATCTGTTTTATGTCATTCATCTCTCTATCTGCCTGTACAGTACATTAATATCAATGTTTTGATTTATATAGTTTTATAAATCTTGTAATCAAGTAGTGTTATTTTTTTTTTTCACTTTATTCTTTTTGTTGTTGTTGTTACTAATCCTCGCTGCAGGATATTTTTTCCATTGATTCTTATAGAGAGTGGAATGGAGGGAGGGAGTAAGAGAGAGAGAGAGAAACATTTAAGTGAGAGAGACACATCGATTGTTGCCTCCCACATGCACCCTAACTGGGGCCAGGGATCGAACCTGCAACCCAGGTATGTTGCCCTTGATTGGAAGTCAAACTTGTGACCTTTTGGGATGCAGGCCAACACTTTGACCTCTGACCCACATTGGGTAGGGCTCAACTTTATTCTTTATGGTTATTCTAGGTGGTTTCTATTTTCTTTATTGATTTTAGAGAGAGATGAAGGGAGGGAGAGAGAGATGGAAGCATTGATAAGAGGGAACATTGATTGACCACCTCCTGTATGCCTTCTACCTGGGATTTGGCCCACAACTTGGGCATGTGCCCTGACCAGGAATCGATTTGATGACCTCTTGGTGTATGGGTTGACACTCAACCACTGAGCCACATTGGCTAGGCTGGTGCTTTTCATTTTTATATGAATTTGAGAAATTTTTTTTCAATTTCTATAAAAGTGAGGGAGGACGGTGGGTGGAGGTAGAAGAAGGCATAGAAGGGATAAATGGTGTTGGGGGAAAAATAATGCCTTTTATAATTAAAAATAAAGTTTTGACATAAAAAAAGAATTTCTACAAAAGAAAAACTGCATTGATTATTATATATAAATTTGGGACGAATTTACAACTTAACAATATTGAGTCTTCCAAACTGAATATGTTATCTCTCTTCAGTTATTTAGATCTTCTTTACTTTATCTCAGCACTGTTTTTGCTGCTTTTAGTGTTAAAAGTTTTCAAATATTTTTGTCAGATATATCTCTTAGTAGTTTATATTTTTAATGCTATTATAAGTATTTTTTTCAATATCAGTTTCTGATTGTTCATTGCTAGTAGATAGAAATACAGTTGAGTTTAACACATTGATCTTATATCCTGTCACCTTGTTAAATTCATTTATTAATTCTTGTAGCTCTTTTATAGATTCCATCAGATTTTCTATATAATGATGTTTGTGAGTAAAATAGTGGTATCACTTGTGGCTTTTCAAGCTGAATTTTTTGTTTGTTTGTTTGTTTGATTGGCGTTTTTTGTTTTGTTTTTGGTCTTACTACACTGACTAGAACCTCTAGGATAATGTTAAATAGAGGTGTTGACAGCAGACATCGTTGTCTTCTTTTTTATTTGGGGACAAAAGCATTAAGCCTTGTTATGTATCACATTAGCTATGGGGATTTTTTTGGTAGGTGCCTTTCATCAGGTTGAGAATATTCCCTGCTGTTTCTAGTAGACTAAGAGTTTCTAGTAGGAATGAACTTTTTATTTTTTCAAATGTTATTTCTGCATCCATATAAATATATGATCATATACTTTTCATCTTAGTTTCTTAATATGATGAATTGTGACTGGAACCAAGGTTTGACTGCCTGCCATCACGAAAACCAAACTCATGAGGCCGATGCTGGTGAAAAAGGATAAAGGTTTATTAGAGTGATAGCATCTGGAGAAGATGGGTGACAAGATTCATGTCCAAAACCCACCTTAGTATATCAGTACAGGCAAGAGTTTTTATAGGGAGGGAGAGGGAAAAAAGAACAAAGAGATCAGGAAGAGGGACTGTGGATATGCAGGCACTATCCTTTTTCCTCCTGATATGGATATCCACTTTAATGTTAGCACACTGAAACTGGTCAGTTCTTGCCAAATTCCTGCAGTTGGGCTATGTGTGTCAACTGAAGTTGTGGTCAAGGCCATTTCTTGTATGAGCAGGATCTGGAATATACTGCAATATACTTATGGGGAAACTATCAGTATGTGAATTCCTTTTATTAGTTTGTTAGCACATTTTATTTTCATTCCATTTCATGGTTAGAGTAGTATAATATTTTTATTCCCTGTTACAGAATCACATTGATTTATTTTAAAGTATTAAACCAACTGTGAATTCTTAGTTTTCAAATTTATTTGCGTAAGGTTATTCACAATTCCTTTATGATCCTCTTAACATCTACAGAATATGTAGGAGATCCCCTTGATCATAATGTATCATTCTTTTATATACTCTTGGACTAGATTTGATGAATATTTACATCTACATTAATGAAGGATATTATTCTTTTTTTGTATTCTTTTTGTTTGTATTAATTTCTTTTGTTCTTCATTTTCCTGGTTTTTTCTTTCTTTTCTATTTTATCTTGTTTCATGGATATTATTCTTTTTGTTTGTTTATTTGTTTTTCTGTTAGGATTTTGGTTTTCTTATCAGGGTTATGTTGGTCTCATAAAAAGAATTGGCAGAACCCAGCCACTGTAGCTCAGTGTTTGAGCATCGACCTGTACACCAAGAGGTCACCAGTTCGATTCCTGGTCAGGGCATATGCCCAGGTTGTGGGCCCAATCTTCAGTGTGGGGCATACGGGAGGCAGCCATTGATGTTCTTTCTCATTGATGTTTCTATCTCTCTCTCCCTCTTCCTCTCTCTCTAAAAGTTAATAAAGAAATAAATAAAGAAAAAAGAATTGGCAGAGCTGAGGTCTTGCTTCTCAGCAGTGTTGTCAGTTTGGCTCAATAAACTCATAAAAATTCTCAAAAAAAAATTAAATAAATACATAAAAAGAGTTTGCAATTAGTATTATTTCTTCCTTAAATTGTTTGATAGAATTTACCCCTGAGGTTATCTGGGACTGTGTATTTTCTTTGTGGGAAAGTTTTTAACTAAAAAGTTCAATGGATAATAAAACTGTTCAGTGTATCTATTTCTTCTTGAGTGTGCTTTATTAATTTGTATCTTTTAAGGAATCTGTACATTTCATGGAAGTTTTCAAATTTATTTGCATAAGGTTATTCACAATTCCTTTATGATCCTATTAACATCTACAGAATATGTAGGAGGTGACCTTTCTTGGTCCTGATATGGCTAATTTGTTTCTTCTCTCCTTTCCTAATCAATCTTTGTATATCCTTTTCTAACCAATCTGGCTAGAAGTTTATCAATTTTACTCATTTTCTCTAAGGAACATTTTTTGATTTCAGTGTTTTTACTGATTTTCTTTTTTTCTGTTTTATTGATATCTGTTTAGATCTTTATTTTCTTTCATCTGTGTTGGGTTTTATCTGCTCCTCTATTTCTATGTTTTTACTATTATTTATTTTATTTTATATTTTCATTTTAGAGAGAGAGAGATCAAAACATTTATTTGTTGTTCCACCCATTTATACATTCATTGGTTGATTCCTATATGTGCCCTGATGGAGTCTCAATCCAGCAAACTTGGCATATTGCGACAAAGTTCTAATCATCTGAGCTATCCAGTCAGGGCTCTTTTTCTGTATTCTTAAGTTGGAAGCTGTGGTCATTGGTTTGAGATTTGTCTTCTTTTCAAATATAGATGTTTATATAAATTTTCCCACATACTCCTTTGCACAAATTTTCATTTTGTGTTTTCATTTCCATTGAGTTCAAAATATGTTCTAATTTCCCTTTTGCTTTGTGTTGTTTTGTATTTTTATGAACAACATGAGTTATTTATTTAGAAGCATGTTTTTTAGTTCCAAATATATCTTTTTTTTTTCTTTTCTTTTCTTTATTGATGTTCAGAGAGAAAGGGAGAGAGAGATAGAAACATCAATGAGAAAGAACATTGACTGGCCGCCTCCCACATGTCCCCTGACTGGGGATTTGGCCCACAACCTGGGCCTGTGCCCTGACTGGGAATTGAACTGGCGACCTCCTGATGCATGGGTTGATGCTCAACCACCGAGCCACACTGGCCAGGCAATTTCAAAGATAACTTTGTTACTGATTTTTAATCAAACTATTTTGGTTATAGAATATAGTTTATATGACTTGAAACCTTGTAAATTTGTTCAGATTGTTTTATGACATAAAAACTGTTGATTCATGTGCACCTGAAAATATTATGTCCTTTGCTGTTTTGGATAATGTTAGTTAAGTAAATTTTGTGTGTTGTGTAGGTTTTCTTTATGTATACTGATTTTCTGTGTACTTGTTTTATCAATCATTGAGAGAAGGAATTGAAATCTTAAAATATAATTTTCTATTTTCCTATTGCTATGTAGATTATATTTTAAAACATATGGTCCACAAATGTATCAAATGCAGTGAATAGTCTTGGGTGGAAAATTACCATTATCAGCATTATTTTAAAGATTTATTCTAACGTGAATTTATTCTAACGTGAATTTATGTTAGTTAATATAATTATACCAGCATTATTTCAAATGTCCTCATTGGAATACATCTCTTGTTTGTTCTATAATGTGGGCTATTTGTCCCATATAGAAAGAAACTTATACTTGCTACATTTTATTGTTTTATCATTTATCTAATGCATGTTATTGTTTATCTTGGCAGCTTCTATATTTTTGAAACAGGCATTTGAAGGAGAATACCCTAAATTATTGCGTCTTTATAATGACTTATGGAAGCGTCTTCAAAATATTCAAGGAAAGTTTAATGCAAGTGGAATCACAGACCTCTGTGTTGACCCACAGCACATGGAAGATGATACACAAGACATATTCATACCAAAAATGCCAGATTATGAGTATGTTTGTTTAATCAAATCTGTTTGTTGGCATATTAAGGATTTGTCTTAACATAATTTTATGCTGGGATAAGTTCTCTGGTAGGAAAAAAAACTGAATGTACTCAAAATTAAATCTGGAAGACATCATTCATGTTTAGGAGCCATATTGGAAAATAATATACATCTCAAATTTAAAGTGTTGTGGCGCAAGAGAACTGAGAGACCACCAGAGCCAAATTAAAGCCAAGTAGAGAGCAAAGTTGGCTGGCGACTGATCCCGCGTTCTCGGAGATCAGCCCCAACTTTCATCTACTTTTTTTTTTTTTAATCCTCACCCGAGGACATTTTTCCATTTTTTGCACAGATAGAGTGGGAGGGAGAAAGAGGAAGAGAGAGAGAGAGAAACATCGACGTGAAAGGGACACATCGAGTGGCTGCCACCCGCACGACCAACCAGGGCCGGGGACAAACTGCAACCGAGGTACATGCCCTTAGCGGGAACCGAACCCGGGTCTCTCAGGACCACAGGCGGACGCTCTAACCGCTGAGCCAAACCGGCCAGGGCTCATCTACTTTTTTATTTTATAGGGGGCTTGTTACAAACTTCTGCAACTGGTATTTCTTGTTGGCCTTGGGGGAGAGGAAACGGAGGTGGGAGGGAGCTGAGACGGAGAACTGGGTGAACTGGGTCATCACACATTATCCTGCTATTCATCCTGCTATTCATTCTGTTTTCTAAGTTCTAAAACCTAAAAAATTCACTTAGATGACAAATTCATTTAGAGGAGTACCAGGCCAGCTGGTACTTCCTCAGTTTGCCTCTGAAATCTTCATAGTTGGCCTTTTGTTTATTTAATCAGGACGAGGTGATAAGAGCAGGCCATTACATTCCCCACTGGGTTTCAGGGGAATCAAATCATTGTTTTCTTACCTAAATTTTGAATTCTCTGGTAATGGGTGCTTAGGACCATAAGTTTAACTTTATGGTTTCTTTCTCTGATATATTTAGTCAACCAGTTAATAATTATGGGGCCAAAAAGTAGTCCTAAGAGCAACAATAGAAGAGGTCCTGCTATTTATGAATTTAAAGACAGTTTCCAAGGTGCCCAGAAGGGGCCTGCTTGAGGGTTGGGGTATCATTCAGGGCTCAGCAAAGCTGATCAGTTCAAAGGTGACTAGATGAAGAGGGTGGCCCTGGTCTGGCAGAGGGTTGAAGACTAGGTTGGTGTATGTTTAGGTGTATGTTTATAGGAATCTTCTGAATAATGAAAGCAGTTCCTGGGTCCTTCCCTGATACATATAAACGTAGTTCCCAAGTTTTTCTTGTGAGCCATGTGGGGTCATTGGAGATTTTGACAGTTATCATAGCTGGGTTACAGTTTCTTATCTTGGAGCAGTTCTCAGGTCGGGGTATAATCAGATGGTGAAATCAAATGTTGGGATTATTATCCCTATGCCGAGGTGCTATGGTCACACAGCTCCAAGCTGTACAGTAGAAGTTAGAGTCCCACAGTCAGATCTCCCCACATCAGGGCAGATATAGTGTTGAATATGCTAGAGTCCTTTCCCAAATTTCAGATTTTTATATCCATAGACATCTCCACTTATGCCTGAATAGGAGCTGGCTGGAAATTTCAGATTATGGTCTGTTGACAGAGATTTCCTGAACATATTATAAAGGTCAAAATATAAGCTTGGGGTTCCATAGGATGTGTTAGTGGCAATAATGTGTCCATCATGGGTCCGACTAAGGTTCCATAGATACTGAGTCAGCTGTTGGGGATTTTCCCGAGTCATAGAAACAGAAGTCCCAAGTAGCAGGATCAGGATCAGAGTAATTTTACCTTGAAAGGGTTGTCTATCTGTTGAAGGGTCCATTTTTCTGGTATCTATCAGAATGAGCCTTCTTTACCTGGGAGTGATGAATCCCAAAGTGACAACCTGCTACCTTAAGGGCTGTTGGAGTGGTGAGAATTACAGGCAGAGGACCAGTCCATCTAGGTTCCAATGAAGCCGGCTAAATTTTCTCGGTGCAGATCCAGTCTCCGGGCTGAACACTGTGGAGATCTGAGTCACCTGGAATAGAAGGCTTAGGGAGAGAATCTCTTATTATCTGATGGTTCCTCCATTGGACAAATTGCAGAACCTGTAAGGACTTAAGAAGATAATGGTTATTTAGTTCAGCTAGGGTTTCTTCTCCCAATTTGGGGAGGAGTGGTGGTGGTCTCTCGTACATTATATCATAGAGAGAGAGACCCTTAATATAGGGAGTACATCGGACTGCAATAGGGCAAAAGAAAGGTGGCTGACCCAATCTTTCCCTGTCTCTAATTTTAATTTAGTACAGTCTCCTTTAGTGTTCAGTTCATCCTTTCTACCTGTCCTGAACTCTGAGGTCTGTATGCACAGTGTAATTTCCAAGTAATTTTTAAAATTATAGCTAAGGCTTGTGTGATCTGGGCGATGAACACCGGGCCATTGTCGAACCTCATGGCTAAAGGGAGGCCAAATTGGGGGACTATTACTGATATTAATTTCCTAGTTATTGTCTGAGCTGTCTCAGATTTAGTTGGGAAGCCTTCTGTCCAACCTGAAAAAGTGTCAATAAAAACGAGTAGGTATTTGTAACCAAACTTTCCTGGAATTATTTCAATAGTCTATTTCCCAGTATTCCCCTGGGTTCTGTCTGCGTAGTAGAATTCCCAATTGAGCATTTCCTTGTTTTGTATTTATTTGAGCACAAGTAGGTCAGCCAGCTGCAATTTGCTTGGCATAATGGTGAAGTCTTGGAATGTAATAATCTTGATGAAGAAGTTCAATCAGTTTAGTTCCCCCTAGGTGGGTACTCTGATGAGTCTTAAAAATAAGATCTCGCCCTAGTGCCTCAGGTAATAGAATTCTCTGATCAGGAAGTATGTACCAACCAGAAGGGTTTATGTTCCCTTTTAGTTTAATTCCGAGTTCTTTTTTCTCTTCTGTATAAGAGGAAATTTTAGGGAGATTTCATGGAGGTAGCACAGGTAAAATCTGGAGAGGCCCCACTCATTTTTGGGTAGTCTCTTTTGCAGTCCAATCTGCAAAAGCATTTCCCTGGGCCACCAGGTCATCGGTTATCTGATGTCCTTTACAGTGAATAATGGCAACCCTTTGAGGCAGCCAGATGGCCTCTAATAGGGCTAAGATTTCAGCTTTGTTTTTAATTTCCTTTCCCTCTGAGGTGAAAAGTCCTCATTCCTGATAGAGGGTCCCATGTACCCGAGCAGTAGCGGATGCATGTCTCCTGTCAGTGTAAATGTTTATAGTCTTTTGCCCTTCCCATCGTAAGGCTTGTGTTAAAGCTATAAGTTCATCCCTCTATGCAGAAGTCTCATGTCCCAAATGCCTGTGCCCAGAGTACCTTATCTTGTGTTACCACAGCAGCTCCTGCATATCTGGTGCCGTTTGACATGAAGCTGTTCCCTTCTATATAGAGATCAGCATCTGGGTCCAGCCAGGGTGTGTCTCTGAGGTCCATTCAAAGACTAGTCAAGGAGTTCAGGACCTTGAGGCACTTATGAACAGGTTCTGCTGGGTCATCATCAGGTAGCAAGGTGGCAGGGTTTAGGGCAGTAGTCTTTAGGAATTTAATCCTTGGGGGCTTTAACAAGAGCACTTGACATTGGATAATTCTGGCATGGGACATCCATGGTTCAGGGGAATTCCTGAGTAGGGCTTCAATAGCATGGGGTGCTATAATTTGTAAATCTTGCCCAGGGTCAGATTAGAGGCTTCCTTAATGAGCAGGGCTATAGCTGCTATGGCCCTTAAGCAGTGTGGCCACCCAGAGGCTACTGGGACTAGTCTCTTAGATAGGTAGGCCACTGGACGTTTCCAGGGACCGAGGGCCTGTGTGAGTACTCCTTTAGCAATCCTCAGTTCTCAGAGACAAATAATTGGAAAGACTTATTGAGGTCAGGTAAGGTCAGGGCCAGGGCACTGATGAGAGTCTCTCTTAATTCTTGGAAAGCCTTTTCCTCAGTTTTAGTCCTAGTTAAATCGTCTGCCTTTCCCCCTGTACTGGTGTATAGGGGCTTTGAGATTTCTGCAAATCAGAGTATCCAGAGGCGGCAGTACCCAGTTGCTCCTAGAAATTCCCGGACCTGTTTCTTTGTGGTCGGGTATTTTCAGAATGGCCTCAGTGCGGTTTGTGGAGAGGGACTGTTTTTCTCCTCTCAGTTCATAGCCTAGATAGGTGGCATTCTTTTGAGCTTTGTCAAAACCTTCTAACATCTGTAATTTCCTCCTAATATCTGGGGCTGACTGGGTAACAAAAGCAATATTAATAGCTCTCCTATTATTAGGGACTTCCGGGTCTATGGGTGTAAACAGCAGGTAAGCTCCCATCAAACGCTCTAAAAAAGCGGCTGATGATTCTCCTGGCTTTCGAATAGTCTTGCTTACCTTAGATAAATTAGTTGGTTTCTCAGTTGTTTTCCAGACGCCCCGTAATAGAGCCAGGCAATATTGTTCAAGAGTTTCCTTACCTGGGGGATGTGAGTAGCCGGTGACGGAGACAGTTGGGATCAGAGGTGGGTTCTCCGTCTGACCTGAGAACAGCCTTAGCTGCTTCTCTATAGTGTGAAACACAGTTTCTAACAGACAGATTAATCCGTGGGGTTTGTCAGAGAAAGAGGGGTTTTGTTTTTTCCAATTATACAGGTCATTAGTGGAGAAGGGGACATACACCATAAAAGACTGGCAGATGACAGAGTAATAAGTGATTCAGGGCTGGCACATCAATAGTTAAACAGCTTGCCTGTGAGAATGTTAATAAGCCTTGCAGAGAGGCATTGAGCCCTCACCACAAAGAAGCCAATACATCCAACTACATCCATATCCGTTTAGACATTGGGTCTTCCCATACATAGGGGACGCAACAGCTGAGGCTCTGAGAGAAGCTCTTCCTGACGGCAAGGCAGGAGGAAGCGGCAAAGAATCATCATCTTTTTATTCTTTTATGTCAATTTCCTATCATCTAT